AGTGACAGAGGTATTCACCAGGACCCTGTGACTGCAGTCTTGGTGATCTTGAGTCTTTTCTTAGATCTACAGGAGAGACATGCCCGTGTGCTTGTTCCCTCTGCAGGAAGTATTCCCTGATAAATTGCCTCGGCTCTAAAAGTGAATGGGAATTGAGGGCTGACCTTAGACATGGATATTAGTGTGGGGACTTAAGTTTTGTCTGGTGTTCTAAAAGAGGAAGATGGCAATTGTCGTGAGTGTAGAAATGTATATATATATATATATATATATTTTTTTTTTTTTTTTGAGACGGAGTCTTGCTCTGTTGCCTAGGCTGGAGTGCGATGGCATGATCTTGACTCACTGCAACCTCCGCCTCCTGGGTTCAAATGATTCTCCTGTCTCAGCCTCCCAAGTAGTTGGGATTATAGGCACCCGACACCACACCCAACTAAATTTTGTATTTTTAGCAGAGACAGTTTCACTGGGTTGGCCAGGCTGGTCTCGAACTCCTGACCTCTCAGGTGATCTACCTGCCTCGTCCTCCCAAAGTGCTGGGATAACAGGCATGAGCCACCGTGCCCAGCAGAAATGTATATTATGATTGGGGAAGATCAATTGGATTCCAGGGGCCCGAGACAGACACATGCGTGTGCATGCATGTGCATGTGTGGTGGTAGTGGGACATGAAAGGGGACAGAGAGAATGGCGAAGAAGCATGATGTGCCCACCCCAAGTGCTGGAGACTCCAGAGCCATCTTCTTTCCAAAGGGCTGTGGTGCTCAGCAGATACTGGGCTTGCTAGCCAGGCATGGTGGCTTGTGCCTATAGTTCCATCTATCTGGGGGGCTGAGGCAGGAGGATTGCTTGAGCTTAGGAGTTTGAGGCTGCAGTGATCTATGGTCACGCCATTGTACTCCAGCCTGAGAGAAAGAGTGAGACCCTGTCTCTAAATAAAAATTAAAAAAAAAAGAAAAGAAAAAGATTGGGCTTTTAGGCTGCTTTGATTTGCATGGTCCCAGGAGCAGATCTTGGACCAGTGGGAAGAAAGGAGGAAAAAGGAATTAGTTGAAGTTGAGTTAGCATTTTCCAACAGTCATTCGGCCTTATTTACTTCAGACCCAATAAGATGGTAGTTCTTTCTCGAGTGCATCACCAGCTCCCTGCTTCTGAGAATGAACACTCCAAGACTGGACCTTTTCTGCAGGTAACCCAAAGTTAATATGACTGAGCTCATGCATTTTGCCAATATGCATAGGCCCCTGTGAGGCAGGGGGAGTCAGTTTTCCACACAGGGCCACTTAAGAGCCACTAAAATGCCCTACTGCAATGACTCCTGAGTTCTTAGACATTTAATCATGTCCCTCCCTGCCGCTAGGCTGTACTTTCTCACTGCTGTTATTCTGACCCTCTGTAATATAATTTTTGCTAGTTCAAACATATTGTTTCTAACTTGTTATAAGCAGGAAACCATAGTCCTGAAATTACTAGAACTCTTGTAAACTAAGAATGAATGAGTTCTGAGAGAGGGTTCCTGTGAGCAAAGTACATGACCCTTCATCAGTGTTTGATTGAGATGCCCCTTCTGGGCTCACATGGCCACTGTGCACCGTCCTGTCTTCCTGGACTGTCATCACTGATACACTAGCCTGTCAGGTCCCCAGGGTCAGGCACAACTTCCTCATCTTTGTAGCTGCAGCGCCTGGCATGCAGTAGGAACTCAACAGATGGTGTTTGTTTGTTTGTTTTGAGACAGAGTTTCCTTCTGTCACCCAGGCTGGAGCGCAGCGTCGCAATCTTGGCTCACTGTAACCTCTGCCTACCTGGTTCAAGCAATCCTTCTGCCTCCGACTCCAAAGTAGCTGGGATTCAGGCCCGAGCCACCATACCTGGCTAATTTTTTTTTTTTTTTTTTTTTTTTTTTGTGATGGAGTCTTGTTCTGTCACCCAGGCTGGAGTGCAATGGCACGCTCTCTGCTCACCAAAACCAAATGAATCTCCTGCCTTAGTTTTCCTGAGTAGCTGGGGTAATAGGTGTGCGGTACCACACCCGGTTAGTTTTTGTATTTTTAGTAGAGACAGGGCTTCACCATGTTGGTTATGCTGGTCATGATCCGCCTGCCTCGGCCTCCCAAAGTGCTGGGATTACAGGCATGAGCCACCAAGCCCAGCCAAGTTTTCTTTCTTTCTTTTTTTTTCCCAGATGAAGTTTCACTCTTGTTGCCCAGGCTGGAATGCAATGGTGTGATCTCGGCTCACCGCAACCTCCAACTCCTGGTTTCAAGTGATTCTTCTGCCTCAGCATCCCAAGTAGCTGGCATTACAGGCACCCACCACCATACCAAGCTAATTTTGTATTTTTAGTAGAGACAGGATTTTTCCATGTTGGTCAGGCTGGTTTTGAACCCCTAACCTCAGGTGATCTACCCCCGTCAACCTCCCAAAGTGCTGGGAATACAGGCGTGGAGTCACTGCGCCAGGCCCCACCCTGCTAATTTTTGTATTTTTGGTAGAGACCAGGTTTCACCATGTTGGCCAGGCTTGTCTCGAACTCCTGAGCTCAAGGCCCATCTTGGCCTCCCAAAATGCTAGGATTACAGGCTTGAGCCTGTCCGGCCAACAGATGCTTGTTGAATGAAGGCATGGGCTTGTGGTGGCTTCCATTTGGCAGTTTGGAGGCCTTGTTCTAATTTTCCTTCGCCTTTCTGGTTTTGGGCAACTGTTCCTTGGTGGTAAGAGAGGTTGATGATGGCAGAGTCTCAGAGAGCTAAGGGAAAAATGTTTCTAGCAGTTTGAACTCCTGTTAGTCCAATGGGGGAGGCAGTCCCTCCTTCTTAAATAAGCTCCTGGGGTTGCCTCTGGTTTTGATGCACCTCACTCTGTAGGAGACCTCAGTCTCAGGATTGTGCTTGAAGCCTCTGTTTATGAGCACAACTCAGGAAAGGGTGGAGCTTCACTCCCCCTTGGCTAGGTACCGTCAGAGTACCCTTGGCTTTCTGCCGCTCCAGGCCTCAAATCCGCAGGGTGGGAAGAAGCTAGTGGTGGAAGGGCTGTGTGGGCCTGTAATTGTCCGAAGGGTTTACTTTGCATGCTTCCTAGACAGAGCCAATTTGTCAAGACAGGGGAATTGCAATAGAGAAACTAATTCATGCATAGCCTGCAGAGTGGAAGACCAGGGTTTTATTATTACTCAAATTAGTCTCTCTCAGCATTCGGGGAGCAGAGCTTTTTTGTTCTTTTTTTTGAGACAGAGTCTCACTCTTTTGCCAGGCTGGAGTGCAGTGGCATGGTCTCTGCTCACTGCAACTCCACCTCCTGGGTTCAAACAATTCTCTTGCCTCAGCCTCCTAAGTAGCTGGGACTACAGGCATAAGCCACCATGCCCAATTAATTTTTGTATTTTTTTAGTAGAGATGGGCTTCACCATGTTGGCCAGGATGGTCTCAATCTCTTGACCTCGTGATCTGCCCACCTCGGCCTCCCAAAGTGCTGGGATTACAGGCTTGAGCCACTGCACCTGGCCTGTTTTTTGTTTATTGTTTGAGATGGAGTCTCGCTCTGTCACCAGGCTGGAGTGCAGTGGCACGATCTTGACTCACTGCAACCTCCAACTCCCTGGTTCAAGGGATTCTCCTGCCTCAGCCTCCCGAGTAGCTGGAATTATAGGCGCCCACCACCACACCTGGCTAATTTTTGTATTTTTAGTAGAGATGGGGTTTCACCATGTTGACCAGGCTAGTCTTGAACTCCTGACCTCATGATCTGCCTGTCTCAGCCTCCCAAAGTGCTGGGATTACAGGTGTGAGCTACTGCGCCAGGCTGGGAGCAGAGTTTTTAAATAACCTGGTGGGTTGGGGGAAACCGGTGAACCAGGAATGCTGATTGGTCAGAGATGAAATCATAGGGAGGCGAAGCTGTCTTCTTGTGTTCAGTCAATTCCTGGGCAGGGGCCATAAGATCAGATGAGCCAGTTTATTGATCTGGGTGGGGCCAGCGGATCCATCAAGTGCAGGGTCTGCAAAATATCTCAAGCCCTGATCTTAGGAGCAGTTTAGAGAGGATAAGAAGCTTGTAGCCTCCAGTTGCACAACTTCTAAACCATAATTTCTAATCTTGTGGCTAATCTACAAAGGCAGTCTAGTCCCCAGGCAAGAAGGAGGTCTGCTTTGGGAAAGGGCTGTCACCATCTTTGTTTAAACTATAAACTATAAACAAAGATTTTCCCAGAGGTAATTCAGCCTGTGCCCAGGAATGAACGAGGGCAGCTTGGAGGTTAAAAGCAAGATGGAGTCAGTTAAGTTAAATCTCTTTCACTGTCTCAGTCGTAATTTTGCAAAGGCAGTTTTAGGCCTCTCTCTCCTCCCATCACAGCCCACTGGCTCCGTGATGCTGCTTGTGGTGACAAGCTGGGACCTGGGCCCAGGCCAAGGGGATTCTTGCCTCAGGCCTGGCCTGCCAGTAGGCTGGGTTGTCTCGGTTCCTGCGTCAGTCTCCAGCACTTCCGCGTGGGAGCGTTTGGGACTGATGTGGTGTGTCTCCCAGAATAGCGTGCCTTTTCCCTCCCTCTGTCCCAGGCAGAAGGGCCAAAGCAGGCAATATCACTGAAGTTGTCCAGCTGCGTCACCAGGCTTCAGCGGTTTCTCAGAACCAGAGGTCCTATGATCCCTGGTCCATGGCAGAGGTGAGGATGGGAGTGAGGTCAGTTACGCCACCCTCTCCTGCCTGCCCAGTGGACAAGCACTAGCCTGAGGTCAGGATGCTGAGGGAGGAGCCCAGGGGTTGTGGGCAGTCGTTCTGGACAGGAGCCTCTCTGAGTGTGTCGGCACAGCCCTGGCCAGTCTGTGGACTCTAATGGCAGGGGCTGGGAGGCAGAAGGGGAGAGAGGAAGCTGGCCTCCAGCCAGAGGAGCACCCTCCAACCAAAGGGATGGCGGACGGGCTGGGGACAAGCTCAGCACCCGTCTTCCTCACTACCAGGCCACACGTGCCCAGGAAGAATGAGCAATAGGAGATCAAAGCATTGATAAAAGTGACTTTATTGAGCTGTCCAGGGATGTCCTAGGGTCTCCTCACTTCCCTTAGCTCTCCAGTCACCATCCCCAGCTCAGTAATAGAGTCCACCTTCCTCCCATGAGAAGGAGCTCAGGAAACTCATTGGTATATAAAACAGGGGATGGAGAGAGATAGGGATTCTCTGGATAGGGACCCTGCGCTGGAGTGGGGGATCCCCAGTAGAGGGCACAGGAAGAGGAGCAGCCTGGCGGCAAGAGAAGCAAGAAGCGAGGGAAGGCTCTCAGGGGAGGCAGAGGGAGAAGAGAGGGGGAGCCCACAGTGTCCTTTTAAATCTGGCTACAGCCTGGCTTTGTCTTTGCCTCCAGCTTGTTCCCATCCCCCCTCCCCTTTCCCCTCTTTGCACCTTCTCTTCCAGCCCTAGGGTGAGTCTTACTGCTGCCCAGACATTCTGAGTCGTTGCACATCTTTCTTTCTTTCTCCACGCCTTTCATCTAGTGTCTCTCTTTTGTCTCTCTTTTCTGTCCAAAGCTCTCCCTAATCTTTTTTTTTTTTGAGACCAGGTCTCGCTCTGTGGCCTAGACTGGAGTGCAGTGGCACAATCTTGGCTCACTGTAACCTCCACCTCCCGGGTTCAAATGATTCTCCTGTCTCAGCCTCATGACTAGCTAGGATTACAGGTGCATGCTACGATGCCCTGCTAATTTTTTGTATTTTTAGTAGAAACGGGTTTTCACGATGTTGGCCAGGCTGATGTTGAACTCCTGACCTTAGGTGATCCACCCACTTTGGCCTCCCACTGCACTTGGCCTCCCCATTCTTTAAGAATCCGTTCAGCACTTTGGGAGGCTGAGGCAGGCAGATCACGAGGTCAAGAAATCGAAACCAGCCTGGCCAACAGGGTGAAACCTGTCTCTACTAAAAAATACAAAAATTAGCCGGGCATGGTGGCGTGCACCTGTAGTCCCAGCCACTCGGGAGGCTGAGGCAGAGGCAAGAGAATCGCTTGAACCCAGGAGGCGGAGGTTGCAGTGAGCCGAGATCGTGCCACTGCACTCCAGCCTAGTGACAGAGTGAGACTGTCTCAAAAAAAAAAAAAATGCCAGGTGCTGCAGTGGCTTATGCCTGTAATCCCAGTACTATGGGAGGCTGAGGTGGGTGGATCACGAGGTCAAGAGATCGAGACCATCCTGGCCAACATGGTGAAACCCCCGGCTCTACAAAAAATACAAAAAAATTAGCTGGGCATGGTGGTGCGCGCTTGTAGGCCCAGCTTCTCAGGAGGCTGAGGCAGAAGAATCTCTTAACCAGGAGGAAGAGGTTGCAGTGAGCCAAGATTGCGCCACTGCACTCCAGCAGCGTGGTGACAGAGCCAGACTCCATCTCAAAAACAAAACAAAAGTAGAATCAGTTTAAACAGCCTACGGTGAAGTCTTTGAGATCGCCCTGGGTCAGGTGCAGGCTTCCTCCTCAACCTGCTCCCCCCAGCCCCTCCTCCTGCTCCCACCCCACCTGCAGTCATTCTCTGTTCTGGGTTTTCTGAGTTTAGCACAAACTAGGCAGAGTAGGCACCAAAAAATTCCAGGCACCAAAGATGGTGTTGGGTAAGATGACAGAGAGTGAGCGAGCGAGTCGGTATTTAGGGAATAAAGGAGAAAGGGGTGGGACACACTGGGGGCAAAGGAGGCAGAGAGGGTCAGAGGAAAGGAGAAGGCATAGGGCAGGAGTGTGGGGTGTGGCTGGAGGAGCTCCCTGGGTTTTCAGACCACTGTGCTGAGGGTGGAGGAGTCCTCGGATCGCACGGGCAGCACTGGGGCATGCTTGAGGGAGCGCCGGGTCTCATCTTGGTTCTGCCATACATAATGCACCAGGTAAGCCACAACGAGTGTCAGCCAGCCCCCCATGGTGACCAGCAGGGCCACATCGGTGCTCCTCCGGGCCCTGTCCTGCCCTGCGCCACACAGCTCTTTCTTCCCTGCCAGCAGCGGGAACTCCTGCCCCACAAAGTCTGGTGGGGCTCCAGGGCCACACACGATGCCTGTCCCAGTGCCCGGTGCCAGCCTCACCTGCCTGAGCACTTCCTGGAGGGCGCAGTCGCAGTGCCATGGGTTGGCGGATAGGTTCACTTGGATCTGTAGTCCCATAAAGGCCTCCACAGGCACCGAGGCCAGCTGGTTGGCAGAGAGGTCGAGGTGGCGCAGTGTGCCCTCCAGGCCCTGGAAAGCTGCCCCTGAGAGGTGGGCAAGGGCATTATGGGACAGATCCAGCTCCTCCAGGACAGCTAGGTGCTGGAAGGCACCAGCGGGCACCGATGCCAGCTGGTTGGCATCCAGGTAGAGCTTTCGGGTGTCGTTGGGGATGCCGGAGGGCACAGTGCTCAGGCCTGCCTGACTGCAGCGGAACGTCCGTTCACCTGCTTCTTTTGCCACATAGCAGCCCCGGGGAGGCACCCGGGGACTGGGCGCAGTACCCCCTGTGCCTATCACCAGCAGGAGGGACAGGAGGTGACCTGCTGGTGGGAGCATGGCCACAAATTGGCATAGTCCTGGAGTGGAGTAGGATCTGGGGAAGAAAAGGTCACATAAAGGAAGAGTGAGTAAAGAGAATCGCATGCCCACTGCCAGCTCTCTCCTCCTGAGGTCCCTCTGGGGAGTCCCTTTGGGCCGGGGCCTCCTCTCAAGGCTGGGTGACTTGTTCACTTCCTTCTTGGGGTATCTTGATTTGAGGCTCCTCGACAGGGCCTTTTGGGTAAAGGGTCTCTTGTGCTTCAAACTCTTTTAGGGTCTATTGATTCTAGGTTAATCTATGAGGCCTTTCTTGGTCATTCTGGATTTGGGGGTTTCTAAGTTTCTGCCTCTATGTATTGATCTCTCTCATTGGAATAAAGTCTTTTTCCCCTACCTACCCGGGTGGCTGCCAAGTGGGCTAGATAGGCACCAGAGGGTCTGATTGGCACTCGTGTGATGGAGACAAGTGGGACAGATGAGTGATAGGGTGACAGGGCATCCAGCTAGGCCGGGTGACTAGGTAAAATGGACCTCTGGCCCACCTTCTATGCCCATCAACCCCTTTTCTGGGAGTACCCACCTGTCTGCCTGCCCAGCTCTGTCCTGTCTGCCCTGCACAGCCTCCCTCCTCCTCCCTCTTCTCCCTTCCTCTCACCCCTCTTGGTGGTAGAGCCTTCTCCAGTGCAGCTGCCCTCTCCCGGCTCCCTGCTGCTGGGCTCTGGAGACCTGCTTCCTCCTCCTGTTTGCTCGTAGCTGCTGGAAGTTGGGGGCTGGGACTTAAGAGTGTTGGGTTTCCTGGCATGTGACTCCGGGCCCAGGTGTCGGATACCTGAGCCATGGTGTGGCCAAGCAATGCCAAGAGAGGGCAGATCCTGGACCCTGATGAACTCTGCCATGGGGATACCAGGCCCCAGTTCCATTCCCTGCCCCAGGCTCCCCTCCCCAGCCTTGATACCTCCATCTTCCTTCAGCCTTCAAGTCTGAAACTCTGCTTCCAAGAACCCCTCTTCCTTGCCTAGAACTTGGCTGGGCAGAAGGATCCCTGCTTGGCAGGCCTGGGGGGTGGAAGTGAACTGGGTGGGCCCCATCTCACATCCACTGTCTCCAGCAACCTGTACACCCCCACTCCATTCTCCCCTGCCACCATCTGCTGCCCTTCTTGTTTTGTTGTGGTTTTGTTTTTGTATTTTTGTAGGGACGGGATTTCTCCATGTTGGTTAGGCTGGTCTTGAACTCTTGACCTCAGGTAATCTGCCTGCCTTGGCCTCCCAAAGTGCTGGGACTGCAGGCATGAGCCACCATACCCGGCTGCTTCTGCCCTTCCTTCATGCTCTGTGGCACTTTCTTCTACCGTGAGCAAACTTCCCTTAGCCTTTCCTTGGAAAACATGTCTGACTGGGGCCACATCTCCTGGCTCCTCACAGTGCCCAGCCATCTTGCCTGCCAGGGGTGCTGTGGTTCAACTTTAGTTTGTTCTCTGCTTGGTGGATTGATGGCCTCTCTAGGAGGAAGGAATTCTTTAAGGCACCTGAAGCCTGATGTGGTCGCCTCTGAGTTTTCCTGCTGATTTTATGATCTGGATGAGAACCAACTCAGGTTCTCTCTGCTGGAGCCCTGGACTCTCAGGGTGGCACTTTGAACTCTCCTTCAGGCCTGGGCACCAAAGAGGGCTTGGATGACTTGTTCCCCAGGGCGTCCCAACCCCAAGCATCATTTGCAGGCCATGCCACTCTGTGATACCAACCTCTCCTAATGTTCACTGGGTAGTGGGAAGGAAGGCTTTCAAGGCAGAGGATGAGATTCATGTGTGACCTGAGCATGTGACCTGAGCATGTGCCCTGATACTACTGGTTGGGAAGAGCTGCCAGGATTGAGCGGATGTGAAGGTACTTTGTGAAGTACCTTCCGGATTACTGTCTTCCGGAACACATTGGGTCTTCCTCCATGATTTCAGTACCATGCCAGGCTTTTCCCCACCACCTCCTCTGGTATGCTGTGCAGGGGCAGGGGTGACAAGGGGTTATAGATGTGATCTATGTGGATGACCCATCTCATTCCTTAGCCCGTGGTGGCTTCTCCCCTGCAACTCCCTTGACACTCAAGTCCAACCACGTGGTGCCTCCTGTGGCACCATCCTACCCACACTATCTCCGGTTCGGTGCTGGGATTCAGAACCTCAGTGATTGATAGAGCTCAAAGGAAGGGGCCAGCCAGTTGACCCCTCTTTAGTTTTCAGATGGGTGAACTGAGGCCCAGAATGTGACCAGAGTTACACAGTGAGTCAGTGGCCAAAGACCAGAACCTTGTTTTCTGACTCCTTGTCCAACCACTTTCCATTGCCTGCTAGCACCTCTGGTCTCTGTGCCACACCTACCCATACCCTACATTCTTGCATGTTGAGCCTGATGGTGCCCACGGTATTGTATGGCACCCGGAAGCCCTCCTGCCAGGTCAGAGAGGTGGAAGAGTGGGGTGTCACAGAGACCAGACAGGATATACTTACACAAAGGAAGATGAGGTCATATGCAGTGGAGACCTTGCTGAGAAGGACAGCCTTGCTGGCTTTTGCAAGACTGTGGTGACCAGGACTGGACATGGAATTGCAGAGCTCAGTGCAAAGCAAAAATGGGGGACAGGGGCCCCTTCTTTCAAAAACCTTTTAAGAATTTTTTAAAAAATATATATATGTATATATATATATTTAAAGACAGGGTTTCACCATGTTGGTCAGGCTGGTCTTGAACTCCCAACCTCAGGTGATCTGCCCGCCTTAGCCTCCAAAGTGCTTGGATTACAGGCGTGAGCCACCACACCTGGCCAAATTTCTTTCTTTCTTTTTTTTTGAGATGGAGTCTCCCTCTCTCATCCAGTCTGGAGTGTAATCATGTGATCTCAGCTCACTGCAACCTCCACCGTCTCTGGGTTCAAGCGATTCTCCTGCCTCAGCCTCCAGAGTAGCTGGGATTACAGGTGCCTGCCACCACGCCTGGCTTATTTGTGTATTTTTAGTAGAGACGGGGTTTCACTGTGTTGGCCAGGCTGGTCTCAAACTCCTGACCTCAGGTGATCCGCTCACCTTGGCCTCCCAAAATGCTGGGATTACAGGCGTGAGCCACTGCGCCCAGCTATTTTTTTTGGAGGGGATGGAGTCTCACTCTGTGGCCCAGGCTGGAGTGCAGTGGCGCAACCTCAGCTCACTGCAACCCCTGTCTCCCAGGTTCAAGCGATTCTCCAGCTTCAGCCTCCCGAAAAGCTGGGATTACAGGCGCCCGCCACCGTGCCTGGCTAATTTTTGTATTTTTAGTAGAGACAGGGTTTCACCATATTGGCCAGACTGGTCTCTAACTCCTGATCTCAACAGAGTCTCAGCAAGGTCTCACTCTGTTGCACAGGCCAGTCTCAAACTTATGAGGCTCCTTGGTCCTTGGCCTCCCAAATTCCTGAGATTATAGGCATGAGCCATGCACCCAGCCTTGAAATTCTGTAGTGGCTCATGTAGTGAGCACTACACCCTGCCGAAACGGTCAAGAATGTCAAGGTCTTGCTGGGTGTGGTGGCTCATGCCTGTAATCCTAGCACTTTGGGATGCTGAGGCAGGTAGATCACTTGAGACCAGGAGTTCCAGACCAGCCTGACCAACATGACGAAACACCGTCTCTACTAAAAATACAAAAAATTAACTGGGCCATGGTGGCACATGCCTGTAATCCCAGATATTTTGGGAGAATCACTTGAACCCAGGAGGCAGAAGTTTCACTGAGCCGAGGTTGCACCACTTCACTCCAGCCTAGGTGATGCATCAAGACCCTGTCACAAAAAAAAAAAAAGAAAAAAAAGAATTTCAAGACTGGGTGCATGGCTCATGCCTATAATCTCAGCACTTTGGGAGGCTAAGAACCAAGGAGCCTTGTGAGTTTGAGACTGGCCTATGCAACATAGAGAGACCTCGTCTCTACTAAAAGAGACGGGCTGGGCACAGTGGCTCACACCTGTAATCCTAGCACTTTGGGAGGCCGATGCAGGTGGATCACGAGGTCAAGAGATCGAGACCATCCTGGCCAACATGGTAAAACCCCGTCTCTACTTAAATACAAAAATATGCCAGGCATGGTGGCAGGCGCCTGTAGTCCCAGCTACTTGGGAGGCTGAGGCACGAGAATTGCTTAAACCCAGGAGGCAGAGGTTGCAGTGAGCCGAGATTGCGCCACTGCATTCCAGCCTGGCACCTGGTGACAGAGCAAGACTCTGTCTCAAAAACAAAAAACAAAACAAAACAAAAACAAACAAACAACAATAACAAAATTATGTGTCCAAATACACTTTTTTTAAAACTTTTTTTTTTTTTTTTAATAGAGATGGGGTTTCTCCATGTTGATCAGACTGGTCTTGAACTCCTGACCTCAGGTGATCCACCGCCTTGGCCTCCCAAAGTGCAGGGATTACAAGCGTGAGCCACCACGCCCGGCCTGTCCAAATACACTTTCTACAAAAAGAAAAAAAAAAATTAGCAGAGCATGGTGGTGCATACTTGTAGTCCCAGCTACTCAGGAGGCTGAAGTGGCAGGATGGCTTGAGCCTAGGAAGTAGAGGCTGCAGTGAGCTGTGACTGCACCACGGCACTCCAGCCTGGGCAACAGAGTGCAACTCTGTCTCTAAAAAAATAAAAAGAAAAAAAGAATTTCAAGATGACGACAACAGCAGAGTGCAGAACCAAGTCCAGGGCTCTTCTGAGCACAGGGCATGCGGTCTTGTGGGAATGCATCAGCCGCATGCCTGTGAGGCTGGCTTTGTAGGTTACCTTTGAACAAGCAGTTTCGGAAACGACAGGCATCAGAAGCATGATGGGGACCAGACCAGATGGTGGGATACTAGATGACGTCATCTCTGAGAATGTACTCACCACGGACTCATTCCTGCCATGTCATCACGGGCATTTCACAGACTCATATTTGTCTGAGGAATCAGATAATTTTCTATACTCAGGCAGCAGAAGCAACAAGCAACACTTTTCTCTGAGGGTTGCTTGTTAGTTAGGCCAGACACTCTGCTGCTGGCTATTTGGGTGTCCATTTTGGAACTGCAGCTGAATGTGGGACAGAAAGCTGAGTAATCCTCTTTTTCCCTCCTTTCTCTCTCACACTGGACAGGGGCTTTAACTGAGGCACAGAGGCTGAGCCTGGCTGTGGATGGTTATTTCCTTCTAACACTAGGGCAGCTTCCAGGAAAAGAGTGGGACTAGGATGTCCAGCACAGCAGCAGCTGTGGGAAAAGCAGGAGCCCAGCTGGAGCTGCAGTTCATTTGGTGAGGATTTCCTGTGAGCCTTATATGCTAGTTGAAGGGGATATAGACAGGGCTTTTTTTTTCCCATTGGAGACAGAGTCTAGCTCTGTCACCCAGGTTGGAGTGCAGTGGCCTGATCTCAGCTCACTGCAACCTCTGCCTCTTGGGAGATTCTCCTGCCTCAACCTCCCTAGTAGCTGGGATTATAGGCACCTGCCACTACGCCTGGCTAATTTTTGTGTTTTTATTACAGACAGGGTTTCACTGTATTGGCCAGGCTGGTCTCGAACTCCTGACCTTGTAATCTGCCCATCTCGGCCTCCCAAAGTGCTGGGATTACAAGTGTGAGCCACTGTGCCCAGCCTAGACAAGGGTCTTAAGGTGCTGGGTCTGTAGCAGGGTTCTCAAAACAGCCTGCACATTCAAATCACTTGGGGAGCTTTTACAAATTAGTTATGCTGGGGCTTCATCTGAACCAATTACATTCAAATCTCTGTGCATGGGGTTTAGGCACTGGTTTCTTTCAAAAGCTCGCCAGATATGTCTAATGTGCAGCCTGAGTTGAGAGTGGTTGGTCTGCAGGGAGACACAGACATGTCTCCACAATGCTTTGATGTGATGCCTGCATTAATTGATGTGTATACAAGGAGTTTCCCAAAGTGATGTGTACAGAGAGAGAATAAGTATTAATAACATGGGAGAACCTGCTGGCTGTGCAGTTGGTATCCATCCCTTCTATCCTACTACCAGATAACATACATGGCTTTAGGAGTGGCAATGCACTCAGTCCTGGACGATTCAACCTGATTGAGCTTCTCAGCCCATCAGAAACCCTGTTACCCACTTTTCCTATCCTTTGTAGCTGGGGGTGGCCCAATTCTGGTCAATGACATGTAAGCAGAAGTCTGCAAACAGTCTTTGACAGTCTGGGACAGTCTGATTTGCTGGTAAGATCAGTCTTTGATCTCAGTTCACTACAACCTCCATCTCCAGGATTCAAGCGATCCTTCTGCCTCAGCCTCCTGAGTAGCTGGGATTTCAGGCCACCACATCCTACTAATTTTTGTGTTTTCAGTAGAGACAGGTTTCACCATATTGGCCAGCCTGGTCTTGAACTCCTGACCTCAGGTGATTCACCTGCCTCAGCTTCCCAAAGTGCTAGGGTTATGGGTGTGAGCCACTACACCCAGCTATTTTTTTTTTTTTTGAGAGAGGGTCTCACTGTGTTGCCCAGACTGGAGTGCAATGGTACAAACACAGCTCACTGCAGCCTTGATCCCCACCAAGTTCATGTAATCCTCCTGCCTCAGCCTCCTATGTAGCTGGGACAACAGACATGTGCCACCGCAACCAGCTACTTTCTTCTTTAAGAGATGAGGGCCTCACTTCGTTGCCCAGGCTGGTCTTGAACTCTTAGTCTCTTGCCTTGGCTCCCCAAAGTGCTGGGGATTACAGCCTGAGCCACTGTGCCTGGCCCCTACTTTGAACAGGAAAGGCTCAACAAGAAAGGACAGCAAAGCGTAAAGGGAAGGTTGAGTACTACTGAGATGTTGGCTGGAGGCCATTGAACTCCTCACCCAACACCTGCAACCGTCTCCTCTAGACTCAGCATGTGAGAAAGAGAACCCCCTCATTTCAGAGCTTTTCAACTTGGCTGCACATTAGAATATAGGCAGTTTTGAAAACTCCTGATGCCTGGAGATTTTAATTGAGTTAATCTGGCGTGTCTCTGGTGATGGGAATATATTTTTCTTTTTGAGACAGAGTCTCACTCTGTCGCCCAGGCTGGAGTGCAGTGGCACAATCTCGGCTCACTGCAGCCTCCGCCTCCTGGATTCAAAAAATTCTCCTGCTTCAGCCTCCCAAGTAGCTGGGATTACAGGCACACACCACCATGTCCAGCTAATATTTGTATTTTTAGTAGAGTTTTTGTTTTGTTTTGTTTGTGTGTGTGTGTGTGTGAGAGAGAGAGAGAGAGAGAGAGACACACACACACACACATACACCCACAGTTTTGCTCTTGTTTGCCCAGGCTGAGGTGCAATGGCGTGATGTCGGCTCACCACAAACTCCGCCTCCCAGGCTCAAGCGATTCTCCTGCCTCAGCCTCCCGAGTAGCTGGGATTATAGGCACGTGTCAGCACACCTGGCTAATTTTGTATTTTTTTTTTTTTCTAAGTAGAGATGGGGTTTTTCTATGCTGGTCAGGCTGGTCTTGAACTCCAGACCTCAGGTGATCCGCCCACTTCGGCCTCCCAAAGTGCTAGAATTACAGGTGTGAGCCACTGCACCCCACCTAGAGAATTTTCTTCACGTTGGCCAGGCTGGTCTCAAACTCCTGACCTTAGCTGATCCACCTGCCTCAGCCTCCCAAAGTGCTGGGATCACATTTGTGATCCACCGTGCTTGGCCAGGTGATGGGAATTTTCAGAAGCTCCTCAGGTGATTCTAATGGCAACCTGGGATAAGAATGTTTATTTGGGTTTTCTGTTGCTTTCAGCTGAGAGCATCCTTAACTGGTACAACAACTTCTCTAGGATATCATCAAGGAAGTCTTCACCAAGGAGTGACATCTGAGCTGGGTTTCAAGGCTGGCCTAATCAGATAGAGAAACAGAGTGTGCAAGAGCAAGGGAGCATGAAATGGCTTGGCTTCCGGATCACTGGGTGGATGGAGGGGATGGTGACAAAGGCCAGGGGTAAAGAAGTAAAAAGGGAGCAGATCCTTGTGACTTACATGCCATGGATGCATTGGGACTTGATTCTGTGGCTTATGGATTGAAAGGTTTTATTTAGTTTTTATTATTTTATTAATTTATTTATTGAGATGGAATCTCGCTCTGTACCCAGGCTGGAGTGCAGTGGTGAGATCTCGGCTGACTGCAACCTGTGCCTCCCCAGTTCAAGCGATTCTCCTGCCTCAGCCTCCCAAGTAGCAGGGATTACAGGAACCCACCATCACACTGGGCTAATTTTTGTATTTTCCGTAGAGACGGGGTTTCACCATGTTGACTACGCTGGTCTTGAACTTCTAACCTCAGGTGATCTGCCTGCCTCAGCCTCCCAAAGTGTTGGGATTACAGGTGTGAGCCCATGGCACTCGGGCTATATATTTATTGAGACAGAGTCTTGCTCTGTCGCTGGGATGGAGTGCAATGGCATGATCTCTGCTCACTGCAACCTCCGCCTCTCAAGTTCAAATGATTCTCCTGCCTCAGCCTTCCGAGTAGCTGGGATTACAGGTGCCTGCCTCCACACCTGGCTAATTTTTGTGTTTTTAGTAGAGGCGGGGTTTCGCCATGTTGGCCAGGTTGGTCTCGAACTCCTGACCTCAGGTGATCTGCCTGCCTCAGCCTCCCAAAGTGCTGAGATTACAGGCGTAAGCCACTGCACTCGGTCTATTTGTTTTTTTGAGACGGAGTCTCATTCTGTCACCCAGGCTGGAGTGCAGTGGTGTGATCTCGGTTCACTGCAACCTTTGCCTCCTGAGTTCAAGGGATTCTCCTACCTCAGCCTCCTGAGTAGCTGGGATTATAGGCACGTACCACCACACCCGGCCAATATTTGTATTATTGTTATGTTTTTCTAAGTAGAGACAGGGTTTCACCATTTTGGCCAGGCTAGTCTTGAACTGCTAATCCGAAGTGATTCTCCCACCTCAGCTTCCTGAAGTGTTGAGATATAGGCATGAGCCACTGTGCCTGGCCAAGTTTTTATTTGTATTTTTTTCAAGAAAAGGTCCCACTGTCGCCCAGGCTGGAGTGCAGTGGTGGCGTCACAGTTCACTGAAGCCTCAAACCTCCCCAGGCTCAGGTGATCCTTCCACATCAGCCTCCCAAGGGGATAGAACCAGAGGTGCATGCCACCACACCTAGCTAATTTTTTTTTTAATTTGTATTTTTATGTAGAGATGGGGTTTGGTCATGTTTCGCAGGCTAGTCTCAAACTCCTGGGTTCAAGCAATCTGCCATCTCGTCTTCCCAAAGTGTTGGGGTTACAAGTGTGAGCCACCACATCTGGTTGGATTGAAAGGTTTTAAAATTAGATTTGATATTTGGATCACTCTGTTGGTTGTGTGGGGTATGTATTGGTGGCAGGAAAACTGGTTATGGCAAAGGTCCAGGTGTGAGATCATAAAGACCTGAGGGACACATGGCATGGGACTGGAAGAGCCATCACTGGGGAGTCTGATGATCTGCCTTGGCCTGTGAAGGGCCTGGGCAAATTCTTGGGCTAGGCCCAAGACCAGCAGACATTTGTGCCACAGGACACATCCTTTCCCAATCCCCTTGGCGTTTCCGTTCTGTGGACCCTCACAGTCTCTGAGATCCCTTCTAGCCTGATGCTCTATGTGACTGGGATGGCAGGCAGGGAAGAGGCTGAGGCATGGCAGGGTCCTGGCTCCCAAGGTCAGGGCCCAGGAAAGTGAGACTCTCAGGCCCCCACCCTTGGCAGTCTGAGTCACAGCTCCTCCCTCTGAGGGTGATAACTCTATATCCCAAAGATGTGACCATAGGGGAGGGAGTTCAGCAGACCTCTATCCCCTTCCCTCCCTGATGTTGGAGACCCCCATGTCCAGCCTGGGTAGGGAGATAACTGAAA